ACTAGAATTTAAATCAAGAAAGTATAGCTATTCAGATCTAATCGTTTTCAATCGACGTCGTAATTCTAAAAAGAAAAACGACCGAGACATACTGCATTGTTGAACGTCGGTTTTTTAGCTATCAAATAATAACGAGTTTGCTTCTCCTTCTTGTTCTTAAATAACAATAGGCGTGCACTCAACATGGCTGATACATCCAGTCAGTCACTGTTTGAAGCACCCCCATCCCGGACCACGCCGAGTGCTTAACGGGATGGGGTGGTGTTCAGGAGTGTTAAATACAAGTATATTTATTATATAACACTCTTACTATACAATATTTGTATTAACTTTTAGTATTCTAATCTATTAGTATATTTACTTGGTTTTTTTACAATTGATGATGCTAAACTTTTTAAATTGTATTTAAAACTGGTATTATATTATGTTACCAAACTTTTAATATTGTATAAGCACGCGCGCTATTATATTAATTAACAGTCATTTGTAAGTCTAATGCTCCAGTTATGTAAGAGAAATAGTTTGATATAAAATATACAAACTGTTAAAACGAGACAAATTAATGCTGTTTCTAGTGTACAGTCAAAGCTGGCTAGAACGAACGATAACGAAGATCTGTTTATAACGAAGATTTTCTCTAAGCCAATTATAAATAGTCATACTCTTAGCTATAAAAGTGACATTCGTTATAAGGAATTTCTGGTTATAAAGAATATTTTCTCTGGTCCGTAGAATTCGTTATAACCAGATTGACTGTATACACAAGTTTGTAACAATGCAGTACAAAAGAAATACGAACGTTAGAAATTACGTAATATATTTCTGCATTAAGGCACAGAGCATTTATCTTACAGCTATGCGTAAACAAACTATCGGGAGAATTGTATACCGTACACAGTTTACCATTGTTATACTATTTCTGGATAACGTGATATAAATATATGGACAACTATGTTTGGCAAGAAACTTTACTGAATCAATTTGCAAATCTTGATTTAACCTTGAGCTAAATAAATTCGATAATCGAATCCATAACTCCAAGTGCCAATTGAATTTCATACTTATTGCGACATATCATATTTGCTGTTGCAAAGACTCGCATTCGCAAGTCTGCGTACGTTGAGTATAAAAATTTTTTCATACCCCCTCCCCCCTATTTACTGCACACTCCTGTATATGCATGCGCTCCTTGTACCTTTTTTACAAACTATGATCTTTTGATTGTGACACGTAGCACATAACAAAAGATGAAACACCGATCGATATAACAAAAAAAAAGAGCGGAAAGTCGGGAGACGTACATGACACAAATATTTTGATGTCATGATGGGCGCAAACCAATTCATATCCTTATTTAGAAAGCATTATAAAGTATTGTGTTTTTTTACTAAAGAAAGTTAGATCATAATACTGCAATCCAATCGGAGGACAAATTAAAAGTACCGTTATTACACAGATACGTAAATTACTTTCAACATATCTCGTTACGTAGGTAAATAACTAAGTATTTTAAACAGAGGTGGTTTATTTTGTGATATGTATGAATTGTTTAGACGACCCAACTTTTCGTTCGACATACTCGAACCAATCTACGTTCCTGATTAACAAGATAGTTTTCTGCATTATACTTGTATGAAATTTTATTTAGATTAACGAACGTACAATCTTGACGGCAATTGATCGGTTAATAATGGACTATTTTTCTTACAAGGTGCACAATTAAATTAACTAAAGTAAGCGACTACGCAAGGAGAAGAGATTGTAGAATAGTTATTCCAAATCTATTTTTAGCAACATTGGTATCAAGAGATTAATATTATTTATTGTCATGCTCCATACAATATCTAGATTCCGTTAATTTTTAGTATTCAAATTTGTTCAAACATGCGTATGTAAAGTTAAATTTGACATGGTACTTTCAATTTAAATAGTTTCTTTCGTATCCTTCTCTTCGCTTAATGTTTCACGGACTGCCGCTAAGTCTATTCCGGGTGTAACACATCGTTCAGGGGTATTTTAAGTTGGTTAAGATCAAGTGTAGCATCTCTTCTTGACAGTGTAGTATCTGCAACAAGGGTTCAGGAGAAAATAAAAAATTTTTTATTTTTTTTGCCGTTCACAATATTTAAAACTTTTAGTTTAATAAGTAAATAAATCGTCATTGACTGTTGCGAAAACAATTATCAAAGTCAGCGTGTTTTTTTTGTCATAAATAACAAGCTACAATTTGAGAGCAGACTTTACTCTAAGATTTACCTATATGCAAGTTAATGATAATGGATATGCTTATGCGTCTTTGCGCCCATGATAATGATTATACTAATAGAGTTTTAACCATATATACGACATATTTTAAAATAAGTCTTACAGCTGGTTTGTTTATCTGTGTATCTTGTAATTGGTCGGGTTTGTCAAGTAAATGTAATAATATATATATATTATTCAATTTAATATGAGATGCAAATTAATGTTTATAAAATATAAGTTTTGAAGGAAGTTTATTATAGAGGACTTGAGAGTTTGTCAGACTCCGTTAAAAGCATAACCTCGTTAACCATATACTAATAAGTTGAGGTAAAAAAGTATAAAACAAGAAAAAATTGCGCGCTTTAAAGCAATGTAAAGGTAAGTTATAAGGTAAGAATGCTCGATTATAAGAGCTCACTGACGTAGTTTATCCATGCATAATGAGACAAAAGTAGTCAGGTCTTTGGTGCTCTAAATCATTAAAACACGTTAGTATTGCAAGAATTACATGGATTTAAAGAGCATGAATATATAACAAACAAATTACCAAGCGAGACAGCCCTTGTTTATTAATAGTATTTTTATCGTCATTCGGTTCATTGAGTGTCTCACACAATTTGTCGACCGATTTCTTGACAGCATCCAAAGTACATTGCTTCACACAATTGCGGCACTGTTTCGGAGCTTTTGTTTCATCACCGATTGACTCGTCAATTAGCATTTTCGTCTTATAACTTTTGCATGGGGTTGCTTCAAACAGTTTGATTGCAGATAATTCTTCTGTAATTTTCTGAAGTTGCGATAAAGTCTAGAAAAGATTTAATTGTTATAGTAAGTATATAATAATGAGAAAAAATAAAATATTTATTAAGACCATAAATTACCAACTGTGACAACATTTGTTTTTTAACGTTGTCATTTTCAGTCATCTCATATTTCGTATTAGCGATATCAGATACCAGTTCGCAAAGCCGGTCAACAGACTTTTCTAGATTGATCAACGCAGTATATTGGCTTTCACATTCGAGACATGGGTTGCGTTGACAAGTTGGTTTTAGTACCGAAAACTTTGCATTACAATCTGATAGTTTGCCGTAACTACATTTGCAGGTGCTTTCAAACAGTGATTGACTGGGTGTATCGTAAAAACAAAAATAACACAATAAAGTATCAGATAATATAAAACAATTATGTAAAACAATGCTGTTATAGAAACATTATGAAATTAATAAATTACTTTGACATGGTGGCCTTGAACTGTTTAAACACCGCTTGTTTAATCTGGATACGCGTACGATAATTTGTCTTATAAATGCAAAAAGAAAAAAAAACACGTTTTTTTTGTGAGCGAAAAAAACCAAACAATAAAGCATTAATAGTAATATTTAGTATAAATCATAACGAATGTATGCCAAATATCACATACCTTGTAGGCGTAAAATGACGTGCGATTGTAGGAAAAGGTTTAAAACTTGGTGTATATATACACGTTTTTGTTCCACAGCAAATGGTTAGGGGAGCCAGGAGTGCAGTCTTGTCTAATAAACAGCAAAGAGCTTCTATACATATTTATTTATATGTGCCTATTCTGTTCTGTTATTACGACTGTTCTATGCAAACGCTTTACAAAAACTGGCGTATATGTACACGTTTTTTGTTCCACAGCAAATGGTTAAGGAGTGGCAAGGAGTACAGTCTTGTCTAATAAACAGCAAAGAGCTTCTATATTAGCTTGTATTTTGTCCGTATACATATTTATTTATATGTGTCTATTCTGTTATTACTGTTCTATGCAAACGCTTTACAGCAGGTAATAAATCAGTGCGTGCTAGCTATAATAAGCCAAAGCACAACATGTTAATTGAGTATTTTCCGCTGCTATTCCGACATTTACCGCTTTTTTTTCTCGAATTATTCTCACGCTTATGACCAATAATGAACATATACTTATTTTGGACAACCCCCTCAAAAATCTAACGCTACTATTGCAGCCGGTTTATTCAAAATTATGCAAATCACGGTAAAAGCGACGAATAGAATAAATGGTTTATTTTTGCGCATATTGCCAAAAATAATTATGGTATAATTATTCTAGCTAATTTACAACCTTAACTACACGTACGCCATTAACATATCGGCGACATATTTGGGTATGTAACATGTAGTGTAACAAAGTTTTAGTTCGAGAAATTGCGCAACTTGTAAATATAAGTTACTGCGTTTTATATAAATACAAAAAATAATTGACTCATGTTTGATATTACAAGCGGTATAATTATAGACACACATAATTACTTATTATACGGCCTTAAGTGGGAACGTTTTCTCAAATATATTCTCTGAGTTATTTAATGTTCTGAGAAATTTGTCCCAAAAACTAATGGTTGGAAATTGTATGTTTGTCCACATTAGTCGTGCTTTTTATAATAAAATATAACGCAAGTTAATAAGTTAGGTGTTAAATTTAAGTATAATTGTCTGGATATTGAGCGGACACTTGCCGATTGTAAATTATATTACATATTAGATTTTTTTTACCCAAGTAATAAACTATAATTTCAAAGAAAATTGTCGAAATATTAACAACCATGTATTATACAGTTTCTTTAAACATAATTTAATTTGGATAAACGTAAGCATATAAAGTTTATACTAGCAATTTTCGAACACCAGTCGTCAATTTTGATTATAAAATAACTCCAAAATTTTTGGTTTATAAAACAAAGCAGTGTCAGCTTTGCTATATCTTAATCTTTGGATTACTATAACACTGCTGTTTCCAAGAAATATTTAAACATTTTTCAACGTGGATAAATTATTAATGCTTGGGAGTGTAATGTAACTATAAAAACAATTACACAGACACTTGATTAACTCTCTTTAACAATTGGTAAAGTGATTAAACTTTAGAAAGACTACGTAAGCTGACAGATAGAAAATACTCGTGCTTTGAAACGTCCTAAGATACATTGAAAGGCAAACGTTAAAGAAATGAGATATACAATTAAACATAATTTTCATAAAATTTGAATATTATCGTTAGAAGCCTTGCCATCAATGGGGAAAAAAGCGGAAAAAAGCTTAATAGAAAATGCTGCATGCGAATAATGAACCAAGTTTGAGCTATTTGAAGAAAAATGGGAAAGATTAATCTTGGAAAAAGCCCACAAACGATGGTCAAGAGTTTAATCAAAAAGTATATAGACATTTGAAACAATTTATTCTTTTCTGTTCGTTTCTTAAAAAATCAATATAATTACCTTCTTAACCTGCATAGAGCCTTTAATATTGGAGAAAAAGTAAAAGCTTGCGTAAGCTGCCAAGAACAAAGAAAAATTATAGACAAGACTCTAGGAAGAATGACTGACTGAATTTTTGTTGGTAGAATAAGCAAAAAAAATTCGATCATGTTAGCACATTTTGATACATATATTTTATTTTTTGAGTTATTATTCGATGCAATTTAAATATTATGAAGTATTTTACTTGAACAAAACTGCTCGGACCTGTCTTATAATCGAAATTCGATGACTAAAGTTAGGAAATCGCTTACAAGGCTAGATTTTTGCTCAACATTAAATTGACTTTTTAAGATATATGCATGTCAATATTGTCAACAAATTTGCTTAAAATTTTTGCTTGTTTACTTAGTAAAGAAAAAGTTTAACATGTAGCGAACTATCAACTTTTCGACTATCGTATCAGCAAGTATCCATTCATTCATGTCCAGGTACTGTGTGTTTCTACATACACATATTACGCAGTGAAACCGGATATAACAAAGGAGACCGTGCAGACACTTTTCTTCGTTATATCGAGGGATTCGTTATATCCAGGAAATTTTACTAGACAAAATTCGAAACATAAAAAAAAAGCATCGCTATATCCAGGTTTTCGTTATATTCAAACTTCGTTATATCCAGGTTCACTGTGTACTAGTTCTTTATTTATTTAATTTCCAACATTGTACTGTACGTATACTGTATAGCACTGGTTCTAGTACCCACCTCGATCAGTACCAGGTCTTGTACTAGTCGCTTCTCATTCATTTGTATCCGGGATACTTAACTGGTTTATAGTATTTATTATATTTATTACCTACTAATTATTTCCAACAATTGACAAAATCTGTCATATTTGCAAGGTAATAATCATTTTCGACCATATCTCTAGCATCACCCACATTCGCGTTATTAACTGTATTTGCTTCCTCTTCTATGATTATGATGTCATTTTGATCACTACCTAGAACACTGTCATAATCAAAGATTAGTTCATCTTCACTTTCATTCCTCTTATTTGATATTCCACACAATTTAAGGATTTTTTTATCATATTTATATCTAGAGCATCCCATGAATCTTTAATCTACTTGGTTATGGTTTCATACGATGGTTGTCTAATATTACCAGAAGGAAAGAGATTTTTTACCGCCTCTGCCATCCAGACGTTATATTGGTGATATAACTGCAATAACGTATTAGTTAAAACATCTGAAAACTATGACAACGGTCGGGTTAGTTCACTCTTATAATCAATAAAATATTACTTGCCTTTGATTTAAATAATTTATTGATTGCTACATCAAGAGGCTGCGCACGAGATGTCAACCCCCGGGAATTGTTGCAATATCAATCTTCTTTTCACCAAGATGGCGTTTGACTGAATCTAGCAAATGAGCAGAAAAGGAATCCATGACAAGAAGAGAACGGGAATTAGAAATCATTGCACGTTTCGTCCATACGTGGTTAATCCAATAAATAATTCATCCATCCAGTGGATTAGCTCGAACTAAAACATTCTGGGGAAGAATATTCTACAGTTTAAAGATAACTAGAGGCGGAAGTTTGCTACCATCTGCACCATACAACTGAGAACCACGGTGAAGGAACTTTGTTCATAATTAGTAGTATGGGTACTGACAGTTCGAGCTCTGACGTTATCATTAGTGTTATTGTTTGGTAAGTTAAACGTTAAGGGGGTCTCATTCCATGCTACCTATAAGTGAAAGCGGGTAGTCATACTCTATTCGCCGGTATAAGATAAACGAGGAAAACTCATGCTGTAATTCATTTAAAGTATCCGGCAGACGCTGAGCGACAGTTGTTCGGCGGCGGTTACATAAGTTGTTACGAGACAAACACTGTCAATCCATTTATTACTGATTTGGTGTTAGGTATCTATCTGCCAATTCTTTGCTTTACCATCTCTTTCGCCTTCATTTAGACCATATACTGAGTAATAACGTTTTTTTTAGCCCTGTGCCTTATCCAAAAACTAATACAGTCTCGAATTTAGAAACTTTGGTGGTGCAAACGCCTGATACCTGGGCGCACGTTTAACAACTCCGTTTTCTTCGATATCCAATCTCGTAGTGTTTAGGCTCAATATCAAATTTTTTTGCTGTTGCGCGTTTACTGTAACCCTTTTCATGATACATAATTATGATTAACTTTTCTCGTACATTTCATTGACGTCGTACTTTTTGAGTTGTATTTGCATAACGAATGCCCGTTTTCCGCGTGTGCAAATTATCGATTATCTAATACGAATATGATTGCAAGAAAATCACTACCAAAATTACTAATGTACCCCCTTAATACAGTATCTTCCCCTGGTATAATACCCTCCTCACACAGGGTACTAGAACCGGTAGTTTGTCAGGTCTACTGTAACTGTAATCACGTGAATGTCTTATATAAATTTAATGCAAATATTTTACCGATCATTAACCACTAATAATACGATTGTCACAAAGCAAAGTTAGTAGCATAAACTGTGTTAACAGTAATATTAGTATGTATTATGTAAGAAAATGTCTTAGCATACTAACCCAGACGTTGTTTTTTGACTCGCAATACCTGTTACTTGAAAGCGTAATTTACCATCAAACAACCGTAGTAGACCAAGAGATAGGTAAACTTAGCAGAGAGGAGATCCAAATTGACGATGCTATATATTCGGAAAAAACAAGAGTGAGAGGCAATTTCTGTATTTTCAACAAACTCACTCGTTATACTTACGTTCTTGGTGCGCAAAACTTAAGTTTTAATAATATTATTGACAATATTTTTAACCAAAATCAGAAATAAAAACAAGGTTTATGAAAAAAATATTACACCCCGATTGTGCTTTTTGAAACTTATCAAATTGTTTCTTGGCATTGCGCCAAAATTTTCTGAGCAGAATACAATAACGGGATAATTCAACTCATTCAAATAGTTTTACTGTTACATAAGTTTTAATCGTATAGTAGAACTCCGCTGGGTTTGTCTATGTTTTATTGAAATTTTGAGGAACAACGAGTTTGCAGCGCATGTAGTATAGTGCAAGCCAGACCTACATGATTGTAGTTACCTAGAAGATCTGCGGCACAGAATTCGCAGCCTACTCTGAAAGGAAAAAATAATGACAATACATAAAACTATATTTTATTGGTCTGAGCGTTACAATGTGTCGGTCTTATTAGCGTCTATAAAGTTATTTATAAAATACGGGCTAGAGCTATAAGCTATTATTAAATTACAGTATGATATAGTCGGGCATATTATAGCTTGCTTATACCCGACCATCAAGTTGGTGGGGAATTACTATACAACGTATAGTAATATACCAGCAAAGTAACTTACTAGAATAGAATAAAATAGAATGGAATGGAATACCATTGTACTTTAATTGTTATTTTACGCAGAGGGTATATAAATGACAATTACAAAATTAAATTATACAATATTTATTTTTAGAAAAAATTGCTCATAACAAATTAATTGTTCACGTCCATTTAAAATCAGGACTAGTGTTGAACGACACATCTATTTGCATGTTTCTTTATTAGTCACAATTATTCAATGTTAAGACAATGGCCTTTGAACGGGCACATGTGATAATCATGTTTATCGTCACTTATGTAGAAAATTTTCTGTGGTGTAACACTGTCCAACAAAGGATGGATGCTGTGGTTACCGAAGAGAGCTGGAAATAGTCATTACTGACAATTACTCAATTTACTCTTAATCCTAAATATGTGCTATTGAGAAATATGCTGACCGGGAGCGGCCGCACCGGCCGTTAGAAATTTACATATTGGTTTTGTGTAAACAGGATATTATGTCAACATCATCTCATCCTAGCATGTTTGATTACAACAATGATTGTTTCTACATACCGATACTACTTTAAGTAAAGGCAAAAAAGTCAATTTTGGAAAGTGAATAATAAATTGTAGTGAACTTCGGTCATAATTGTGTAGCACAAATTCTTGATAACCTACACCAAAAGACAAGCTTTGATCCTAAAGCAAAAGTCTTTTTATATACCCCAACTTTCAGGCATAAAAGAAATTATCTGTATTCTAAATTTTTATCGCTGTTACTATTATATTTGGTTAACCAGAAATTTTATAAGCAAACAAATAGATACACATCCTAACTAGCTTTGTGCTGATAACCGTAATACACTCATAAATAAGTCGTCCCCGAACTCTCAGTCCATCGTAATGTATGTATTTATCCAATCAGATATTTATATTCAACAAACAGCATACATATTGAGTAATTAAAAGCTTTGTCTTGTTAAATTTTTGACGACGATATTAGAATTCTTCATTCAGCAATTACTTAGAGAACACTATTGCGACGCTTAATGACCACTAATAGTTTAAGTACCTAATTTTTATTTTTTAGTAAACATAGTTAAATGAGCTCAACTTTCATAGACTTCTAGCCGTAATTTAAACAATAAATCAACCGAACACTTGCTAAAATCGTTCAGAACACCCAATTTTTACCGAAATGCCAAAAAGACATAAGAGTGTGCGACTTCATGCAAACCGATGAATAGAGCAAGATAAATAGTAAGGTAAATTTTGTAATAAACTATAAAGTTTTTAATCGTCAGTGTAAGAGTATGTTGTCTGGTTAATTCATTTATTATTTTGATTAACGGCATAAAATCATTATAGTCAATAATTCCGACACTTCTTTCCGACACTTTTACACGCTAGTCAAATTAGTCCATTTGTGTTAGTTATAATTGACGATGATTTGATGAATGGCCACTCCATATGCTGTACGATCATAAAGTGTCGGAAAAAAGTGTCGGAATTATTGACTATAATCACAAAAACACCATTCATGTTACTATTTTATTTATTTGTAAAGGAGTGGTACTTGGTCTGTGGAAATCTGTGTCTTGCAAATCTTTTTTTTTAGCCAATATTCCAATTTCTGTTCAATTACGATATCATTATGCAGTTCAAGTAGCAAGACATAGGAATGTCGTCATGATCGGCATAAAACTCGGTTTTTTTTTGCAGCTAATACGTTGTAAGATTTTGATTGGTCCGTTTTGGACAATAATGTAGACTAGACTTAACGTAGAATAAAACATGTAATCTCATCGTCTATTAGAATTGACTGATGTTATCGGATTTCTTCCAAGTGTACCGAACAACTTTTTAAGCGACGTAAATGCTACATTATATACTTTAAGCTTGGAATGTCCAATCGTTTCGCGGGCGGTTCAAATGCAATTGTACAGTATAAATTGCATAAATATTACAGAGAGGGCGGATACGGAGAATGAAGGAAACTGTAATGTACAGTCTATCTAACAAAGTCAAAATTGATATTTCGCCCCAAGCTTGAGAATGAGACATAGATGGTTGTGCATTCATGGTGAGTTGATTAATTAAATATTGTCCTTGGTTCCAAACAACAGATTGTAAATTTATTTTTAAGCATGCAAGCCGGAAATTGCAAAGTCGATACCCAATCTTTTATATTAATCTTCTCTTTTTCCATGCGTGGGTTTTTTTATCTAGTATGTTGCGGTTCGTAAACTCATAATTCATTTCGAATACACTGTCTACCGTACGAATTTCTTTGTTCAACGTGATAATAATAACAACCCAAAACTGGAATAATACAATTGTCTCCTTTCACACTTACAATTTATTCTTTACTTCGTACTTCCATCAATTTGTTTTGTTGCGGACCGATAATCTATGTCATTGTTGGGGCAAATGCGATCAATCAAACGACAATATGAAGAATTGGACTGAATTTTAAAGTTCTTCGACATTGATATTATGCTATACGATAAAACAACCTGTTCACAAGATAGCACTTGTTTCCAGTATGTGGAATGAGGTAATTGAAGGCTATTATTGCAAATTTATGGCTAAATTGCAAGCAGAATATCTGGTGGTGGTTTACATTTTCCAATAGTTTTATGACCATAAAAAAATTTTATTCCTGAATAATTGAGGTTTACAATAAGCATACCAACACAATGGAACGTTGAAATTGGTTAAATGCGACTCGTCCATCTGTTGGCTGTGTACATTTCTGCGCACGGCTAATCGATTTGTAATCAACACCAAAAAAAGATTTTCGCATCGCACTGCGTGTTGTTATTCAAATTTGTACTTCATTATTATATTTATAAGGACCATCAGATAAAACATATAAATACCGTGTATACTCGCTATTGGTGTCCATCTTATCGAAAATAAGTGTGAGCTACTGACTTTGTCTAATATCATTTGAGATATAACTTAGTGAAATTCTCCAACCATTGCGCATTCTGATATATATCGGTTTGGCACATTTAAAGCACGACTCCACTTGGATATAAATTAGGGAAAAAGACTTTAATTATTCAAACACTCACAAATTTATAAACGAGCTTTTAATATTTACGTTACACTGTTAAATGACCGAACCTGGCCAGTCAGATGTTTTCATTCAACAAGCAACACAAGCAACGTAAGTGTAAAAGTTGAAGAACAATTTACAGTTCTGTATTGTTGATTTTTTAACGCATATTCGAATGTTTCAAGAACTATTTAGAACACTATTATTATGTTAAAAGTTTGAACTAACTAATTTCTCTTCTTTTAGTAACATAATTGAATGGTCAATTTCTTCAGAATTTCACAGAGATAATCAAAGAGTTACAATAAAGGATTTCGAAAAACCAGACTTCACTGGTGGTCATCCCATTATGCAAGTGAAGAGTTTTGAACCGTCAAATAAACCTGTCGGCTACATTATAAATGAATGCACGCTACCTTTGGTAATGCAAACGATAGCCGATAAAACGCTTAATGAAGTCGATGCGAGCAAGGAAAACAATAGAAAAAAGGAGCTTGCCCGCATGGTATGACTTATAGTATTCTCTTTGGTAAACAAAATTCTATTGTAATGTTAATTTTTCTCTATAATTCTAGACTACAGAGCAACTCAAAGAGTATGCAGGCTTTATTGAAATTTGCTTGAAACCGTATAATGGCTTGGAAGTAATTATGTTTTAGACGGTCACGCCTATTTAATAATATTGATTTTATAATTATTACTTATTAGTTTATGACTTGTTTAGATTATTATTTTAATAAATGACGTGTCACAATAGCTGTGAGAATACATAACAAATCTATCGATCACAGCAATTCTCTGGCCTTATTTGATGAGCTAAATTTCGCATTTGCATTTATTGATGATCGCTTCGCGTTGTCCTACATCAAGCTGTTCAATAGTTCCAATATATTCGACTTTTGACTAACTTTTTGACTTTGTATTAGAATAATTTCAAAACTAGGATATTTATCTTTATTAATTAAAGCAAATCGTTCAATTTCAAAGATTGTAAAATCATATGACGACGTAATTGGTGGCTCGAGCAATGTATCCGACAAGTAATCATTAAATTACAACATAGTAAAATTTAGCGATGCATAAGAAACCACGCCGTTGATATTTATAAACTCGAACACATGTTTGGGCAGTCATTCTAAATCTCCATTGTGGTATCAAATTTATGTTATTTAATGGTTTAATAATGTAAATTAGATAACTGACTTTAAAAATAACAAGTAAATTAGATACTATTATTTAATTAATTAAATACCTGACCTGATAGAGTTTAGATATCACTAAGTGTAAGATAATTATGCTGATGACGAGAATGTTTATCATCTGGGGGAAGACAGAACAATTTTACTTATTGTACTTGTCTACGTATATAAGTTTTCTTTGTTGTTAACGGTTTACTCGTTTAGCTTTGATGGTATTATTGTTTTACTATCAATTGAATTATTAGTAATCATATAATCTGTGTTTGTTGTTCCTCTAATGGCAACAATTTTATTTAAACCATTTACTTATAATCAAATTAGAATAAACAAACTACGTTAATAGATTATGGAGTGCGAATAGTGAGGTGAGTATCTAATAATAGAAAACTTATCATCGAGAACTGCACAATCGTGTCACTAATAAAAATAAAATGCTTATCTAAAACCCCTTGTATTCTGCACGTTTTTATAAACATAAGCTATAACCTGAAACACTTTAAAACACAATTCAACATCTCAAGTCTGGGTAAATATTATACAGCTGCACTGACTATTCTTGCAATTTCTTTAATTGCTTAAGACCATACTTTATAAGACTCGGTTCAACACTCGTCTATGGTTTCTTTTACTTGATATAATAAGTAACACTTTTTTGAGAGTCATAAACCTTTTGAAATTAAAAATATATTGCCGCAGGCCGATATTTTTAGACGTCAGTATTAACAATGAAACAAAGAAGTACATTGTTTGGGTGTAATTAAAACCCCTCAATTCTATTCTTATAACAATGAGCTATTGGTGCGAAGGCTAAAAACTAGATTTACATACTATACTATAATACATTCCCGTTGTTTAAAGAAATGAAAATCAATTAAACGTTTGAGTATAACGCTTAAAAGAGCAAACATGATAATGTTTCGTTCAGTTAATATAACGTGTGATACTTTGGTACCCATAAGCTTGGTCGAACCTTATCAACCAAATCTTGTATTGCAGTCACTGAAACAGGATTCATTACGCTGGGGCATTTTGACTCCTATTTTTCAAAATCATGTGTAAAACATGTTAAAACAAAGTGTATGTCGTAACGTTTGCGTGTTATGATATCAGCTTTGTTACCTTCATTCAGACATGAGTCAATCGATAGCGGTTGGCATAATCATAAGTAACCTAGTTGATCGAAATCAGGGGCTAACACACATGCTAACAACGTGTGTGTGTGTGTGTGTGTGTGGGTAGCCAAATAGCCAAGATCCATTTATCGGCTTTGGTGCTGGGTAGTCTGTTGTCTACACATCACAATCGATAACAAGGAAATCTGCAACAACGAATGATCAGCACCGTGATTGGTTCACCAATAGTTTGCACTACATATTGCGTTGCGCTAATTTTAACCTATATCATTAATAACAATATTAATAGCAGCAAACCAATATTCATTTTAACTATATTTTAAATGCCAAATATACCTTAATAAAGCCACACCCTCTACATGCGTACTTGACGCTACGCTTAATGGTTCGGATTAGATTGGAGAGAAGTCGGTTTTGGGCAAACTAAATGTGAAGCAAAGCAGATGCTAACAGCTCAGTTTATGCGGACATTAATGCATTTAAGATAGATTCTAACGTATTTGGGACGAGAAGGACGTCAGAATAATCTAATCAACACTGGCAAGAGTAAATAATGATTTATCCCGTTAACATAAGTGATAATAAAAGAGGATATAAAATATTATAACTCACCCAATTTAATAAAAAACCGGTTTAATAAATTTTATGTAGACACAGTTTCATGTCAAAAAGAAAGGTATACGATGTGTCAAAGTACAGCAACATTAACGATGTAAACTATATGAATTGCATCGTATAACGTTGCAAGTTTTAAAAATGTAATGGTATTAAATACAGCACGGGTGGCGTCAATTTTTTTGCCAAGTTAATTGTCCGTCTTTTGTTGATGCTAGCTCCCTTCACTTATTTTTGATAGAACTTTATCTATAGCAGTTATCCATTTCGTTCACCAATAATCTATCTCAATACCACATCTTTACGTATTTAATACTATATTTTATCCATATCAATCGTACAAAAAACTCTCATTACTCACCCAACCGCCAAAAATTAATTGAGCGTCTGCTAACAATAATAATGGAATCTTTTTTTCCGCTTTCGAATAATGCCCAACCAGACGCTTCAATTTTGTCAAGGTAAATTTATGATTGACTGAAAATTTACTTAGTGCATGGCTGTTTTGTCGACTCCGAAAACGTGTGCGTGTATGTTTATTTTATCAAGATATTAAGATGTTGTTAAAGTCAGTTTATCTATTTCTCTTTTCCCTAATTATTCAGTATTGTTGAGGCATCTGAACCGTCACCATTTGAAGCAACCCCATTAAGTCAAAGTAAACCAAGTTCCGATACAGAAGTCAGAAAACCTCGAAAACGTGGGCGCAAATCTACGAAGAATTTTTCAACGCAGTTGGACTTTACTGGAAATGATCCTATATCGTTGACAGTAGAAAGCAATGTGGAAATAGACGAACAAATATGTACTCATGATTTAAACAAGCAACTATTAGACGATGTTATAACAACACTTGATCGAGTTCACGATTTGTCAGAAAATCTAATTAATAGTGAAGTCTATCAAAATGAAGTTTATCAAAATGAAGCAAAAGAACGGTTTAGTTTGATGGTAAAGTGCATTAATTATGTAGCTGTAATTTCTGTGTGTTAATAAGAATTAATACCAAATATAACTTTGTATTTTTTAGAGCACTGAACAACTTGTCGAACCGTTATTAATGGTTACCAAAAAAATACAAAAGTTTCGTTAATCTTGTACGCATACGTAAATACGCGTTTTTATAACTATTTTTTTTGTTTTTACTTTTATTTTTTATGGTTTTATTATTCCTGTTTCTCTTTCCTCAAAACACGGAGTTTTTTTCGCAACATAACTTGATATGCTTAATATGTTTTCGTTTTTTTTTAAGATATTTACGTGTTTGGGAATAGTCAATCTATGTTTACAGATAGTGTCTCTCTCTTGCGTTTTACAACACTATTGTTATTGTACTTTCGATTTTCTATGTTCTATAATATGCAGTATTGCCAAAGTTTTATAGTGGTGGTTATGCAAGCAAAGGTTAGTTACAATAAGATAAAGGCACAACAAAACGTGCAGATAAATAAACGATACATGCATACGTTACATGTAAACATACTTATGCAACGAACGATGCTTGAGATACGCTTCATAAAATTTGTGTTAATTTGGTATCTGTTGTCTGGGGTTGGGTTGATGTGTTTCGTTGTTGGAAAGTTTGTAATGGAGTTAGTATTTTGTTTAGATGTGTTTGGCTTCAGTTTGCATGGTAGAAGAGGTTATACAAAAGCAACGGTAGCTTTGTTTTAATTGTAGACAGTTATGTATCTAAAGCTTGTTCAAATGTTGATGTTAGTATATTAATTAACTAATTAATGAACGTATCAATGGGATAGTTGAAACTATATTATGCGCAATCTGTTTATCGATTTCATCGTAAACTATCGCTTTAGCTTTTCTTTCTTTTCTTCCAATATTCAACATCTTATATATGTCGGATTTTCAACATATATCACTTTAATAAAAGCATCGCTCGCTAATTGCACATAGTCTAATTTCTCTGCTAAACAAACTTCATCTATATACCTTTCTCCTATTTGCGCCGCTGTTAAAAAATGACCTAAAATCAGCATTCTACTTACAATGTGACTTCCTTTTGTTTACATACTAGTGCTAGTCCCACTAGTTAATCGTGGTAAATATCCTCAGCGACAAATTTCTAATTATAGGAGGTTAAACTAGTGAGCGGCGCATGACAAAGGGGGAGCTGTAAGCAAAATCATTTACTTATTATTATTGCTATCCCACTTGAT